AGAATTCACCATCACATTATAACACCCCACAGCTGAAAGGGCGAGCATGTTTGGTGTGACGGGGATTTGAGCCCGCAGATTGCGAGTCGAGCGCCCCCTAACCACCTGGCCATGGCGGACCCTTCTAGTGGTATTCATTGCAATACTAATGATATTTTCGTTTATCTTGTTTTATGTGACTTATAATTTATATACACTGCTAGTAATCCTGTAACCAACAGAGACAATGGATCCACGAGTAATGTAGTGCATAAATAGTTTAGAAACACGTATTTAAAAAGACGACAGTGACCACATCAGTAATTCTAGGGTTAATTAAAGGCTCTGAACAAGTTGAAATGTTGTCACGCGTCCTTGAGTAAAAATGTCGTGTGTTGCCATATTGTCACGCCTTGTTAGATAAAACTGTTGGATGTTGTCATGTTGGATAAAAGTATTGTGTATGCCATACTGTTAAATCTCGTTGTTGTTGAGAGTTGTCATGGTTAGTAGCAGGGATGAAATTTTGCCGGTACTAAGTACCGGAACTTTTTTTTTTCTTTAAGGCGGTACTAGTACCGGGACTACTTTTTTTACCGGGACTTATTCGGGCTGCTTTGTCGATTTTTATGTTTACACGTAGATTTTTTTTTTTCTTTTTCAAAAACAGATCCTCAGCTAAGTACCTATACTTTTTTTTTTTTTTAGAATATCACCCCCGACTCGTAGTTTATACGTGTTCAGTGTTGTCTGACTCATTAGACAAATGTTTAGTTTTACGATGCTTCACTTACGTAAATAATTACTATTATGAAACTGATAATGTACCTGTAATTTAATCATTTTCAAGTAAGATTATCAAAAATAATAACGTGAGATTACTTTCTTCGCCAAAGTTTGTAATTTCAGTGAAGAAATGAAAGAATCCGTGAAAAGACTATACCTAAAAACCTAAAAAAAAAAACTAGTTACTTTCTGTTACTTATTATATCCTGGCGGTATGAAACGTAACTTAGTGCGTTCTATGTACCATAAGCTAAATATGTCCCCAGATGGAACAGAGGTAAGTCCACAGACGTATAACGCTAAAATCCGGGGTTCGATTCCCCGTGGTAGGCATAGCAGCATAGCCCAATGCGGCTTTGCTCTAGAACAAACAACTATCTATACAATTATGATTTCGTATTTTTTTCACACTGTTTTAATTAATTTATCTTTATCATTTATTAGCGCTAAACCTAGATAAAAGTACCACATATTATTAAATTTGAAAGAACAGTATATCTATAAAATAGACTAATTTCATAATTTTTGTTAGGACGTAAAGATTTTGTAGTAATTTAAACTGCGTTATTACTGATTCGCGCTAAGCCTAGAAAAAGGAAATGTATCAGAAATATACTCTCACACCCAATATCCGTTCTAATAAATTGAAAGTCAGTTAAAGTTTAGGAGAGTATAGGAAAACCTGTTGTTCTCTCCTACCGAGGTCAGCAGTCGAAGAACTCCTTCTACCGTTTTCAGATAGCTTTTGTCCAGATTAACTAGCTTATTTTCTGAGTTTCTTTGGTCAACACTGTTGTTTTCGTCCGAGTCACTTGTTGATCTACTTGTGGTTGATCTTTTCGCTTCCTCTACAGTTGCCATGTTCACCCACCTTCTCTTCTGCTCAGTGCACGCACCACGTGTTACTGTCTCGAAACTATTAAAAGTATTTACGGTTGCTGTAATTCTTACATCACGGAAGTCGAGCCGCGGAAGGAAGTCTGAGTTCATTCGACAGGGTATTGAAGCACTCAAACTTGTAATAAAGCAGTGTTTCAATGCCCTGTCGACTGAACTCAAACTTGTAATAAAGCAGTTCAGTCGACAGGGCATTGAAGCACTGCTTTATTACAAGTTTGAGTTCAGTCGACAGGGCATTGAAGCACTGCTTTATTACAAGTTTGAGTTCAGTCGACAGGGAATTGAAGCAATGATTTATTACAAGTCTGAGTTCAGTCGACAGGACATTGAAGCACTGCTTTATTACAAGTTTGAGTTCAGTCGACAGGGCATTGAAGCACTGCTTTATTACTCGAACACATTTAGATTTTCCAGGTTTGATTTCGAAAGTCGAATGACTGCATTCAAATAACTATAGTTTTTTTTGTATTTGAACACAGATTATGTGAGCTTGATTTTTAAAGTTATGACATCATTTTCTGTAATAAAATTTTCTGTAATTTTTTCGCCGTGTATGGAGTGATATAATATATATATATATGTACGTATCTAAATTCTCAGAAATAAAAAAATGACTTTATTTGTTTGTTGTTAAGCTCAAAAAGTTACTCAATGGACTATCCGTGCTCTGCCCATCGCAGGTATCAAAACCTGATTTTTTGCGTTATAAATCCTCAGACTTACTGCTGAGCCACCAGGGGCATGAAACTTGAAAGGACTCTATAGATATATAAATAAATGATTTTTCTCTTACTTCACTCCTAAGACTAAGGATGCATTTTTGGAATTCACTGCAGCATAACTTTTGCAACACTTACGTTTCGCTGTAATATATTAAGTTTTGCAACACTTACGTTTCACTGTAATATATTAAGTTTTGCAACACTTACGTTTCACTGTAATATATTACGTTTTGCAACACTTACGTTTCGATGTAATATATTAAGTTTTGCAACACTTACGTTTCGCTGTAATATATTAAGTTTTGCAACACTTACGTTTCGCTGTAATATATTAAGTTTTGCAACACTTACGTTTCACTGTAATATATTAAGTTTTGCAACACTTACGTTTCGCTGTAATATATTAAGTTTTGCAACACTTACGTTTCGCTGTAATATATTAAGTTTTGCAACACTTACGTTTCGCTGTAATATATTACGTTTTGCAACACTTACGTTTCGCTGTACTATATTAAGCACACAATTTCATAAAGATATACGTTATTTAGTCACACCACTAAAACACCATCAGAGTAACTCAACTTTACGTTTAAGCATACAATATGTAGCATTCTTCTGCCAAACCACGCCCCCGGTAGCTCAGCTAAATATCGGGTTTCGATATCCGTTGTAGACAGAGCACAACAGCCCACTGTGTAGCTTTGCGCTTATTAACAACAATCAATCTTACCAAACCAGATCTAGGTTAGAATTATATAATGTACATCATAAAGACGATACGACTACACGTGGAAGTGTGGCAAATATTCAAAAATGAACTGTACGGCACTGTAAAAACGTTTTGTTTTTTTTGTCTCTCACGTGATATGTTATATAAATTAAGGTAATGTAAATATAATTCATTGGCATTATAAAATAAGTATACAGTAAAACAAAAATCTATACAGTGAACGAGGGGACTTGAAGTTCTGATCTCGACAGAAATTTATGAACTGGACCTTAATTTCCTATGTCCCGGCATGGCCGAGTGGTTAGGGCGCTTGACTCGAATCCCTGTCACACCAAACATGCTCGCTCCTTCAGCCGTGGGGGCGTTATATAATGATATTCAATCCCACTATTCGTTGGTAAAAGAGTAGCCCAGGAGTTGGCTGATGACTATGATGGTGGTGAAGACTACCTTACACTGCTAAGTTAGGGACGGCTAGCGCAGATAGCCCTCGTGTAGCTTTGCGCCTATTAAAGAAAAATTCTGAATGGGCAATGGTACAAACGAACATTGCCTTGAAACGTTTGTTTGTTTTAGAACAAAGCGACACTGGACTATCTGTTGTTTCCACTGCGGGGAATCGAACCCTGGATTTTAACGTTGTAAGTTCGTAGACATTATTTTGAGTATGTTTACTGAATCCGCAAGTCTTCTCTCACTGACAAATTCCGACTTTTTGGCTCTATGGATCAGATGAGTTTACTTCCCTATCATAATTTGCTGAAGTAGTCCTTATACATGTGTTGAAAACTGCACATTCTTTAACCTTTTGAGTATAACACTCTCTGAAGTTGTAAGTGGTAATTATGAGCCTAATTTAATGCTATTTATTTTTTTTTTTTAATTACTCCTATCGCAAAGAAAAGCTCAAGTTCAAATGGGTCTGTTTCAGAACATTTGAGCAAATTTACATAAATGGTTATCTGGGCAAATCCGTCCTTATTTGTTAGCTTGTAGACTAAAGGGAATGTGACTATCACATTTGTAGCGCATCTACAGCTTCCAGAGTGCGCAACATTTTTTTTTTTTGAGGCAAGTTTTCGTGTGCCAGAAACACTTGGTTTCGCAGTCCTAACATGCTAATTATTAATCCACATCCGGTCCTGATCCATTGGAACAGCCAAGCAAGACAGGTTAGAAACTTAGAAACCATTTCCTGTACTTGATGTATTATATGAAGGCATTCAATCAAACTGGCTTTGAGTAATGGGTACTGGTGTTCTGTTGACTGAAACTAGTTTGGTGAGTCTTATTCCTTGTGAATAGTGAAGTTTCAGTCGGATCTCGGATATTTCATTTATTACATAACTTGTATTACTGATGAAAAAGGTAATAGATACCGAGAATTTATCCAGACAGTTATGCCATCTGAGAATTGTGACTGATAGGCACATGGCAACAGTGAAAATGGCCCAAGAGCACACTTATACTTAACGCAAAGGGTTCGGAGTATACGTTATTTACTATTAGTTTAATCTGTTTGTTTTTAAGTTTGTTTCTTTATTTGTTTTGAATTTTGCGCAAAGCTACACGAGGGCTATCTGCGCTAGCCGTCCATAATTTATGCAGTGTAAGACTAGAGGGAAGGCAGCTAGTCATCACCACCCATCGCCAACTCTTGTGCTACTCTTTTACCAACGAATAGTGGGATTGACCGTCACATTATAATGCCCCCCACGGCTGAAAGGGCGAGCATGTTTGGTGTGACGGGGATTCGAACCCTCGACCCGCAGATTGCGAGTCAAGCTCTCTAACCACCTGACCATGCCGGGCCTGTTTTTAAGTAAGCTGTAAAACAAAGGAACTAAGTGCTATGACTAAGTTTAGAATTAGTATCGCTGAAGAACTTATGTTTTAGGGTGCATCTTAACTGTTTAATTCATTCCTATGAGTTGAATGGTGTATGCTCTGGCGTGGTATAAAGAAAAGCTCCAATAATTTTAAACTCTAGAATTAGTAAAGTGATGGAAATTTATGCCATTAAATATACCATTTTCGTCTATATATAAACCGCAGTTCTCAACATTATTCAAAGTAATTCTTTATCAAACACCGTTTTGATTAGTATCTGTACATTTTTATGTTTAGTTTACATCGTTAGCAAGACCTCAAGTATTGTTGCGCTTCTGTGTTCGTTTGTTAATTTTCCGTAAAAATTCTTTCCGAAGATACTTTAGCGATGCAAGTCCTTTCTTAAATAAAACTAGTTTATTCTTTCTCAATACAACTTTGCAATGCACTTAATTTCTACAGTTACGCTATAACTTAAACAAACGCTATAATTCATAACGAACGATTCACGCGCTTGACTCAATTGCCCATCTCTATCCCTGTCAATTCCATTGTTGCCGTCACTTCTTGGCGGTCTTATATACAAGAATACCACACATCTAGTAAACACTCGAGCATTCAAGAACCTTCGAGAATATCATGGCGTGTTACTAGCGTCACGTGACTTCCGCTGTCGTAACAGTGTCATTGTGTTTTCTTATTTGTATCGATCATATTTTTTTGGCGAGTTTCCAAGTTACATTAAAGTCTTGGGTCATAATAGCTGCGTAAAGGAAGTTAAGATACAACTGAATGATGTGGATCAACTGGTAAGTTGAACAAAAATATTTGGGAAATGACCTTCAGTATAGTAAGTGTAAGTTAGTGTGTTTGGTGTCCAAGTCAAAAGAGGTAATTATCTCTATATACAAATTATTAGTTAGGCTTCACTTGAAATATTGTGTACAATTTGGTCTCATTATTTAAGAAAGGGGGATTCAGAGGATGATGATTTCGGGATGAAAAAGTTATCTTACATGTAATGGTTATGGCCTCTTAATTAATTTTCTTTTGAGAAAAGAACAGTAAACTAAAAGATGATCTTATTGAAATTTACAAGATTATCCGTGAGGATTGAAATGATAAAGGCCTCATTTTTTTGCGATATTCTGAACATAATAGTGTGACAGAGCACTAGTTTAAGATTTGGAAAATATAGACTAGGTTCCTTAACACAACTGCTTTTTTCGAACAGGGTAATTGGTGTAGAATAACACTTTACAAGAGTTTTAAGAACAGACCCGATAAATTCCTGAAAAATACTTGATATAAATAAATTTATATATATATATATTAACGGAAGGTGTGCAATTGTTACTTACTTGTGTTTAACGTATCGTATTGTTGATGGATGCATTATTCCACAAACCTCATTAAAAGTTATTTTCTGCTATAAATTATTTTATTATTTAAAATTTGCTTTCATGTAATCATCATATTAATTATGAACAACGCCATAATTAGGCTATGTTCACGAGAGTTTGATTTTGATGTGTCACGTGACTCTTTAGGTAATGAAAACGTAAGCTACTGTACGGTAATGTTAGGGCTTAAGCCATAAGTTTGGGAGACAGTAGTTGTATTTTTACTTACACTTTTTACAACTTAAAATGAATCGCACCTAAGAATATTATGTATGTTTTATTATAATTATTTTGAAAGTTTTCTTGTGTCAAGTTATGTTGCTTATACATGGCACGTTGTTAGTGCTAAACAAGTTAAAGAATAAAACTACTAATACTATTACTTTGCCTTTTACTAAGACTAAGACATTTTAGTAATAAATACTACTACTACTACTATATAATACTATTACTAGTATTAATAGTAATACTATTTTACATACGTTTCGTTCATAGTAATAGCATGGTCACCTTGACATTAATTAAATTTGTACATGGAGAGTATTGTTCGCATTCATAATCGCAAAATTAAAACCTATTAACTTTATTATTATGAAATTTATAGTTTATTAATTAATAGTAATAATAAAGACGTAAGATTTTACGAGCAGCGTTAGTGTTGTCTTTTTTAGTGTTAATTATTATGAATAATAGTATTACTAGAACTTATAAACCTACGATATAATAATAATATGGGCGTTTAAAAGTAAAGTTAAACGTTATAATTTAAATTTTAACATTATGAGTCGTACTAAAGTAATTGAAAATGAAATACAATACGTGATTGTGAGTTTGATACAAATCACAATCTTATTACGAAATTAGTGTTGATACTGATAGTATCAATTATTTATTATGATGCATTAAAAGTTATTTCTTATCTGTTAGTAATTAAAACTATTTTTTTTGTATATACTATGACTAGCCTAAAGATTACATTCTATACGACTCCTACATGAAACAGTACTTTTTTTCTAGCATTTAAAATATATTTATCAGTTATTACGGATGTGAATGATGCAGTATAACCAATCAACAACTTCTGATGCATACTTTGGTGATGTGGCACCAATCACATCTATTGTTGTTAGTAAAGCTAACAGAATTTTAGGATGTATTTATACAATTGTGTAGGTAACTATCCTTGTTTACCTAGTTGGGCTTCACAGTACTCTGTACAGTTTTAGGCTTCTTACCTTCGAGAACATAGACTTTTAAAGAGGTTTCAATGAAGGGGCTAATTGTAATACGATGATTTGAGGAGGACTTTCAGTAACCTGGAACCCTGAGTATTCTTCACATAGATTTCCAAGTTCACACACGCAAGTTTTAGTTCATGCTTGTGAAAGAAGTAAAAAAATTCATTAATTTTTACTGATGCTGTAACAGACTTTTAGAGTAATCTCCAGTATCAGACACATTTACATCTTGAGGTGGGTGTTGGATACATGTACACAGTATATGTTACGGATTAGCTTGACTTGTGTAAACAGTAGCCAAACTCATTGATGCTGTGTGGTTTATTGTCTGTGCGGAGACATCAATCTTGAAACTAACAACGGAATAATAAAGTGCTGATGGATTGATTTTCATATTTGTGTGTGACCTGTTAATTGGTTGTGTGATTAGTCTGGCCTTCACAGTTTGCAATCAAAAGATACACAACATTAATTGGATTATCAAACAGCTTGTTTATAAATCAGTGGATAATAAGTAATCAGGCTGATCGTTAGACTAAAAGATGCCTAACTGGATTTGTGATTATTGCATAATGATCACACGTGCTTGATTTAAAGATCTGAAATTTATAGCCGAGGTTATTTCATCCCTAGTTCTAAAATCCTTAGGAGAAACCTGTATAGGGATAGGGTAAACTTTGTTGATGTATCTTCTCTTGAGTAAAGAAGGGTAAATTTGTTGATGATATCAAGGTCCTGGATATTTCCGACTGAGAGGAGAATACTGCTGATTTACAAAATGATTTGGATTATTTAGTGAGTTGGGCAAATAAATGCTGATAGCATGTTAACTTATGGTACAATATACACTGTCTAACAACTATTTCCATGTTAACTCATCATTATACAATATACACTGTCTAACAACTGTCTCCATGTTAACTCAAATGGTATAATATACACTGTCTAACAACTGTCTCCATGTTAACTCATCATTATACAATATACACTGTCTCCATGTTAACTCAAATGGTACAATGTACACTGTCTAACAACTGTCTCCATGTTAACTCAAATGGTACAATATACACTGTCTAACAACTGTCTCCATGTTAACTCATCATTATACAATATACACTGTCTAGACAGTGTATATTGTATAATGATGAGTTAACATGGAGACAGTTGTTAGACAGTGTACATTGTACCATTTGAGTTAACATGGAGAGAGTTGTTAGTGTATATTGTACCATTTGAGTTAACATGGAAACAACTGTCTCCATGTTAACTCATCATCATACAATATACACTGTCTAACAACTATCTCCATGTTAACTGAAATGGTACAATGTACACTAACAACTATCTCCATGTTAACTCAAATGGTACAATATACACTAACAACTATCTCCATGTTAAATCTAATGGTACAATATACACTAACAACTCTCTCCATGTTAACTGAAATGGTACAATATACACTAACAACTCTCTCCATGTTAACTCATCATTATACACTATACACTGTCTAACAACTATCTCCATGTTAACTC